AATTTCTTGAGAAATCTTGTTTACAGTGCATGGGTCTTGGAGTGCATCTAGTGATAATTTGAATGTTTTTTGATTTTTACTGACTCTCTTTAGCTTAACTGTAATTGTAGAGCACGGTAGAGTATGGTCTGCCCGAATACCGCCACCTTGTAAGTCTTGACCTATTTCATGCAATTTTCAAATCGTTCATTGACTTATATAATAAATTTGATTTCTTAAAATATTGTCTTTTCGATCAGGAGATCAGGATCAGGATTGGCAGAACTGCACCAACCGTTCTCCTCTTTCATTTCTTTGTATTAGACCGATTATTGATGTATGTATTAGACCGATAAGATTCAGCCTCGGATACCGGACGGAAATATCAGATGACGACACACGCTATGACAATGGAAAAACGAATTGGTAAACGAAAACTTAAAGACCCCATCACACGAATCGCGTGCTGGAACATTACGTTGTGGAACGGAAGAGACCAGGAGATCATAATAGAAATGAAGAAACACAATACTGACATCTGCGGAATCTCCGAAACAAAGAAAAAAGGCCAAGGAACATCAAAATACGGAGAATTTATATTCATATACAGCGGGAAAGCTAAACAAGAAAGAGCGCATTCAGGAGTTGGAATTTTGCTGCACGATAAATACACGCAAAACATCGAAGAAATCGAATACATCAACGATAGATTATTAAAAATATCTATAAAAATGCGTAACATCACAACACACCTGATAAGCACGTATGCCCCAGACATATCTAAGCCCACAGCAGAAACTGAAAATTTCTATCAGCAACTACAAAACGTCGTAGATAACATAAATACGAAACACAAAATTATCGTACTCGGGGATTTTAATGCACGGATAGGAAACGTTGTCATACCAGGTATAAAACAAAAGTACAACGAAGAAATAATTAATGAAAACGGCGAAGCACTAATAGACTTTTGCGCTAGAAATGAAATGAGGATCAACAATACATACTTTCCTCATAAAGACCAACATAAATACACTTTTAACAATAATCGAGGCCAGCGATCAATGATAGATTTTATAATCACAAATCGAGCAATAACTCCGTCACAAGTACTTGATGTCAGAGCACTAACATCTGCTAACCTGGGACTGATCATAACCTTGTTTTATGCAAGATGCTACTAGAACGTCCGCAACGAAACAGAAAACCCCCAATGTTAATCGAAAAACATAATATAGAGTCGCTAGCAACAGAGAGTACAAAACTGCTTTATGAGAACAGGATTACCAGTAAACTAAAAGAGATCGACTTAAAACCCGAATGGGGAGTAGAAGATACTTGGCAAAAAATTAAGAAATGCATCAACGAAGCAGCAGAAGAAGCGATTGGAAAGCGGAAAATTAACACGAGAGCGACAAACCACACCAAACCGTGGTTTTGCCAAGAGGTAAAAGAACTCTCTGAATTAAAACGCAAATGCTACCTGAGATATAAAAGCACGCAATCGGAAGAAGCTCATGCAGAATATGTCCAAATAAGAAACGAAGTAAACGCCAGAATAAAATCAATCAAAAGAGAACATTGGGCCAAATTCACTTGCGACATGGACTACGACCTATATGGTGCCCAAAAGAAAGTATGGAAAATGCTCCGCAACAGGAAAAAAACAGTTAACGAGTTCGTGCAGACCAAAGGACTACCTATAGAGACATGGCAACAGCATTTTAAAGAGCTATATGATGCTGAAGAAACGCTGAATATAAACGAAGGCGAAACAGATGTGAGTGCTACAATCAATGACGAAGAAGTAGAAGCAAAGATCAAAAAGCTAAAAAACAGAAAATCACCGGGAACGGATGGTATACCCAATGAACTTTTAAAATATGGAGGCCCGGAACTTGCAAGTAAACTGGCACAACTATTTAACAAAATATTAAACAAAACAGAAACACCAGAGGAATGGCATAATAGTATCACAATCCCCATATTTAAAAAAGGACAAAAAATCTGCCCACAAAACTATAGAGGAATAACCCTCTTAAATACAACAATAAAACTTTTCACGGGTATTCTCAAGGACAAATTGGAAAAGCAAATCACTAATGCTGAAGAACAACAAGGTTTTACAAAAGGGCGGTCTATAACAGACGCAGTATTTATAATAAAACAAATAGAAGAAAAAGCTAAAGAGTTCGGCATGCCAGCGTATATTTGCTTCAATGATTTGACGAAGGCATTTGACAGAGTTCGCCTGGGAGACATTCTAAATATATTAATAGAAAATGAAACACCGACCAGTAAAACAAAGATACTCCATAACCTAAATAACAACAACGTAACCAAAGTTAGAGCAGGAGACGAATTCACTGAAAATATTCCAACACCGGGAGGAATTAGAAAAGGCGACAGTTTAAGCCCCTTCTTGTTTAATCTTCTGATGGGCAAAATTATCAACAAAGTAACATCTCTTAATCTCGGATATAGAATAGGCAACAAAAGAATTGGTATGGTGTGTTACGCAGACGATGCAGCAATTATTGCCGAATCAGAAGATGATCTCCAAAGGCAGCTCTTTCAGTTCTTTTAAACAAGCCGACTACTAAATATGAACATCTCTACCAACAAAACTAAATGTATGACAATAGCAAAAGATCCGCTCAGATGGAAGTTAGTGGTTGAGGACAACCCCATAGAACAGGTGATGCAATTCAGATATCTGGGCATAGATATAACAAGCACCCACGACCCAGTAAAGGACCTGAGGAGTCAGATCAACAAAGCATCTGCACTGTCAGCATGTCTGCGGGAGATAGTCTGGTCAAATCCGTATATGCGCACAGATAGTAAAAATAGAATCTATAAGAAATTAACCAGAGGCAGCTTCAGAATTAAACAGATCGAAAGATCTACAAAAAGTAGAAGAAGAAGAAGAAGAAGAAGAGTATTAGACCGAATATTTCAGTAATATTGAAAGTACTTTCTGTTTCCACCCACTTTTGCATTGAACTTTGCTACGATAAGAGTAATTGCGTGGTTTTTGGTCATAGCTAAGGCTTCTGATACAACTTAGTAAACTGTTTTAATCACGTTATTTTCTTTGTCTACAGTTGGTGAGTATACTCGTATTATATTTATATTTACTGGAAATGTAGCTAATTGAATTAGATTTACTCGATCTGATCATGGGACAAATTTCCTTACAAATTTTGTAAGCGATTTGACTCATCATTTATCCGCCTTGTTTCACAGACTCCTAATACAGACATTTTCCTGCTTCATATAACGTTTTAACATTCCCCCAGCATTCATTTTAGTGAATTTTTATAGGGATTTCGCTTGTTTTCGACCAGGAAATACCTATGGTTTTCCTTTACCGGATCTTGTGGTCCGAATCCATTATCTATTTCGTCGCTATTGCTTGATATGACGATTGTTCTTGGAATATACTTAGGGATCTTTAATACAGTGGTTTTCTGTTGCCTTCTGTTAACACATTTAAAGCAAAAAGGATCTCTCCTGTTCCCAATCCGTTTCTAAATCCGAATTGAGTGTCACTCATCTGGAACTCGCACTTCTTGTAAATTCTTTATAATTCTGAGAAAAGTTTTAAGGTCATGAGACATCAAGCTTAATCTTCGATAATCATCGCATTGTGAGGAATTCGATTTTTTTAGTGATGCTACCAATGTTGATTTTAGCCAGTCTGTAGGTATTTTACCTGTGTCATATACCTATCTTATTGAATAGTGCTGTTATTAAGTCTAGGCTTTTACTTTCGTTATCTGCAATTAGTTTTAGTATTTCGACATTGATATTGTTTGGACCGGTGACTTTTCCATTTTTCTGAGATTTTACTGCGTGAATCATTTCTTCTTTGATTATTTCTGGGCCTTTTTCATTTATTCGATTATCTGTGGATGGTGGAGAACAAGGTCTATCGTCGTCAAGAAGAGTTTGTATGTATTCTTTCCATCTCTCTAATTTGTCTTCTGTACCCATAATTACTTATATAATAAATTTTTTATTATTGTTGATTGTGTCTTTTTGTGTCTACCTGTCATTTCTTTTACTTTTTCATAAATATTAAAGGTGTCGTATTTTTCCTGAAGTTGTTCGATTTCTAGGCATTTTGTTGACATCCAGTTTTCTTTCGCCTCCCTGCACTTTTTTCTAATGATTTTATTGATTCGCCTGTATTCTATTGGGCTTGTTTTATGTTTTCGTCTTACGTCAATGATGTCCATGATCTATTGCGTTATCCATTCTTGTTTTTTGCTGTATTTTATGAACCCGATGTCTTCTTCTTGTATCTTTGTTATTTTTGTTTTTAGAGCAGTCCATGTTACTTCAATGTCTGTCTGTATCAAGTTTTGGATCGTTTTTATTTCTTCCTCAAGCTTGATATCTATTTCTTTTTTCTCTTTAGGGTTCTTCAGTTGTGAGATGTCTATTTTTCTTGCCACTGTTTTCTTTTTGACTTTTCTAATCTTTTTAATCTAAAATCCATTATAACTGGATTGTGATCGCTATCTATATCAGCTCCAGGGTATGTTTTCGTACATTGTATGTACTTCTTAAAGGTGCTATTGAGCAAAATGAAGTCAATTTGATTTCTAACAATTCTGTCTTTTCTGTCTGCAGGTGATTTCCATGTATATAGCCTTCTAGGATGTTGTTTGAAGATAGTATTGGCTATTAACAGATTGTTTTCTTCATCCATGATCATCGTTATCTCACCTCTTTTTGTCAGTCGCATTATTTCATCTATGTTGTTATAAATTTTTTCGATTTTTTCGTCTGACTTGTCACTTGTTGGAGCATAGACCTGAATAATACTTAGTTTTCTGTGAGTTGTTTGTAATTTCAATATTGCTACCCTATCATTTAGAGGGATGAAGTCTGTGACTGATTGAGCAATTTTGTTCGACACTAATATAGCGCTCTTTCCTTAGCGCTTGTTTTTTTTTTGATACGCCGCTCTAAACCATCAGGTAGTTGTCTAGGCTAATAAGAAAACTAAATATATGTATAAAAGTTTATTAAAAGCTTTTAATACATAACCTTAAACTAAATCGATTAGAAGAGAAACTATGGTTAGATTCACAAGGTCGAATGAATTCCTGGCTTGTTGTTAACATAAATCAAAAGAAAATGTGAGATTCTGATCGAAACAAACAAAAAAATAATAAAACAAAAATACTATAAAATAAAAACAACACTGTTTCTATAACAAAACACGATTTTTTTATTTTTGAGCACACATAAATAAAATCTACTATTCGAGGTTCGGTCCGCTCAGTTGTTCACTAAAAAAATTAAGTGTGTTGTGGAACAAAAGCGCCAGCGAACCTCATCAGTCATTCTTGGGAAGTTTCCACGTTACTGGAAATACAGTTCAAGAACTGGACGCACTTGGTTCGGGTAATTTCTCTTCTACGGATTTGGGTTCTTCGATTTTCGCTGCGTCGGTGGGTTTGGGCTCTTCCAGAGGTTTTTCTGGAAGCTTCTCTAATTTACCTTCTGGTAGTTTAGGTTCTTCAATTGGTTTTTCTTCTGCTACTGGTACTAGTTCGACAGGTTTTACTTCAGCTGGTTGTGGCTCTAAAGATTTTCCTTCGCTTGGTTTAGCTTCTTCGAGTTTTTGTACCTTCTGCTCTTCGGGTTTGGGTTCTTCTGCTTTGACTTTCTTTTCACCTTCTAGCTTTTCTTCTGGCTTTACTTCTGCTTGGACAGCTGGAACTGCTGCAAGGACGGGTTCTTCGGGTTCCGATTTACCTTCAGGCTGTGCTGGCTGTGGTTTTTCCTCTGGTTGTTCGGGTACTGATTTACCTTCAGGCTTTACAGGTTCTTCTGCTTTCTTCAACTCGGGTAGTTTTTCTTCGGCTACAGGACTAGCTTCTACTTTTTGTTCACTGGGTATGATTTTTTCTTCTTTTATTTCAGTGGCGACCAATTTTGGAGCTTGCTCAGCTGGTTTTTCTTCAGCAATTAGAGTTGGGAGGGCTAGGGGTTTCTCCTCTGGTTCAGCTGGGCTCGCTTTGGCAGCAATTTGGGGAACTACAGGATCTACTGCTTTAGGTTCTTCTGGTAAAACATCTGGTTGGACTGGTTCAGATACTTTCAAAAAAGAAAGTGGATCGATTGGCTTCACTTCTTCCTTAATTGGCTCTTTAATAGGTTCTTGGAGAGGTTCGTCAAGTTTTTTTTCTTGGATTTTTGCTTCGTTGGATTCTTTCTCGTTCGAGGAGGATTCGTCTGATTTCTTTTCTCCAGACTCGTCGCTCTCCGAGGAGGATTCTGAGGAAGAGTCGCTGACCGGTAGTGGTTCTTGTTTTTGGGGTTGTTGTTCTGGCAGGGGAAGAAGTTGGTCTGGTACTGCGGCTGGTAGTTCTTGCTCTGCTGGCTTCGCGTCTTTTGCAATAACTGGTTGAGCTACTTTTTCTTCATTTTCGGCTACTGGATATGCCAGGGCTGTTGCTATTAATAATAATCCTACGATAAGTTTCATTCTGCAACAAAAAAACGGTATATTAGAAACGGTTTATATTCAAATATATTTAGATATATATTAAAAACGTTTTTGTTATTATTTGTGGCTGAAATGTTTGTGATTTCAAGTATGCTCAAATATACGTAAACTTTTGTCGTCACCACTGTCGTAAAAATTAGGTACTTTGTTATTTATTCTGTTCAAACAAGGCATACGGCAAAAACTTTTAAAAATACGTATCTAAAAAGAAAACTATTAAAGAAGCTGAAGCAAAGTATGGACGAATCCTAATCAATACTAGCAAAACAAAATTTTTGCTTCGGACGAATTGCCCGAAACATGGATTAACTAATTACATTTTGTAAGAAAAGTTGGGCAAGACAAGTTACAAATATGCTCATCAGGTCTCTACTGTCTCTACTGTGCCTACTGAATTAAAATTTTCAACTGGTACTCTACAAAAGACTACCATGAAGAAATGACTCCTGATTATTTTGGTTACATAATACCCTGATTTACATTAATGCTATGAGGGAGTTGTACGACGATATGACGAGTTTAATAAAGATTGGACAAAAAGTGACAAAAAAGATATAAAGGTGACCAAAGAACTTAGTCAAGGGTGCTGAATTGCACCTACGCTCTTTAAGATTTATTTGGAGGGGGTTTTGAATATTTGTAAAAGAAAATGTGAACCTATGGGTGTTAAAATTTAAACTCATAAACTGTACAAGATCAAGATGATGTACACTACATGTTGCGTAAAATAAATAAAGAATGTACTAAGTGGGGTTTTTTTATTAAACCATCAAAAACACAGTATATAGTAGTGGGAGGTGAATGAAGACACTTTAAACTAAGAGACAAATAAAACCAGATTACTGGTAACTACAAATATCTCGTAAAAAGGTACGATATATACCCGTAGTATACAAATAATGGCATACGCTGATGATATTGTTATAATTGGAAGAACTCAAAATGAAGCAGTGGAGGCTTTCACACGTATCAAAAATGTCACAGAAAACATTGGATTAACATCCAGAAAACTAAATAAATGCCGGCCCTATCAAGAATTTAACAAAATAACTTAGAGGTGCAACACGAAACGATATAAATGGTAGAAATATTCTGCTACTTAGGATCACTGGTAGACTACAAAAATAACACATCCAACGAGATAAAAAAAAAGAATATGCGTGGCTAACCGCTGTTATTTTCAATAGGAACAAAGTGCAAACTTTATAAAACAATAATATGCCCAGTGCTCACATACGGATCGGAAACATGGGCAATGACGACCCGAGATGAAGAGTGACTACGAGTATTTGAAAGAAAAGTATTGAGGACCATATATGGCGGAGTAAACGAACAGGGTCTGTGGAAAAGGAGATATAACTTTGAACTCTATAGACTTTTTGGTGATGCAGATATTGTGAAGACCATCAAAATAAACCGCCTAAGGTGGGTGGGCCACGTTATGCGGATGGATGAGAGTGATCCCACTAAAATAACGATGCTAAACAGGCCGGTCGTAAGAAGAAGAAGGGGCGACCTAAACTCAGATATCTGGACGATGTACAGGAAGATCTGAGGGAGATTGGAGTGAGGAGCTGGAGAAGACAGACACTCGATAGGGAAGGATGGAAGAATGTTTTGAAGCAGGCCAAGGCTCACGAAAGGCTGTAGCGCGAACTGATGATGATAAATATCTCGGTGTATGCATTACAAACGATGGTCAAAATATAAAATCCTAATTTGTTCCCTAATAGGGATGATAGGGATGATGCAATGATCTTAATTTTGACAGAGAAAGGATATCGAACACAGCTTATGGAAAATGTAATGTCACTCCATCTAGCAAAAAGACAGAAGAGGGAATGTAAAGGTAGTAGGGGCAACAATATTGTTAGACGGGAAGTGCCATTTTGCGAGGCCACATTAAACATGGAAATAGAGACCTAGAGACTCTTTCCTTGTTTAAGAAATCAAATTTAGTTGGGTTATGTTATTGTTTCTCCCAACTGTCACATGAAATCTTATTTATGTTAAGTTTTTTAATAGTTGTGTCACATTTTAGACTATTAGTGTTAATTTTTAATTAAAACTTTCTCGTCTAAGAAACATTCTGAAAAATATTTTATAGCTACTGTTAATTTCCGGATATGTCCGCCATATTAAGAGGCCACTTTTATGAATTTTGGTCTCCTTTTCATAAAGATTAGATTCCCTCTTTTGTCTTTTTGCTCGATGGTAAAAAGTGTAAAAACAACAAGGCTAAACAAAACTAAAAACGTAATTAGTACCAACTTAGTGAAAAAAATTTCCCTAAATCTGTTGTATAAGATTTTACGTAACAATGTGGATTATTACTTACATAAAAGTTTGTCTAAAATTTGCATATGTAAGAACAGTTAATAATATATACGTACAAAAAATATCTAACTGACAGTTATTTTCATACACGTATTATTATAATCTCAGCAATTCTAATTTTTTATCAAATAGATTTGTTCTCACGACCTTCGATGGGATGGTTTCTGCATTAAGTAATATCCGACGTAATAAGTCTTGCAGAACCATTAACAATAAACCATCATCTCGATGTAATGAAGTACCCTCCGCAGGCATCGATTAGCTATAACCAAGTCGACCGGTTAACTAAGACCAGTCCTTTTTTTGCTTCGTTCAAGAGCAACTTATCTTCGTATTTTTATATGAAGGAAAGTATCCGCATAATAAGAACAAGATGGAAAGTGAGGATTTTATACGAGGTGTTCATACGTAGCCATCTTTATAAGTTTTAATCTATAGTATTACAATATCGCTTTAGTAATTGTTTTGAATTAAAAAACAAGTTCCATGTATGAAGAATAAAATTATAAAACATAATAAAATACCGGAAGAATGGATAATGCGGTAACTAATTCTACTATCCAAAAAGAAATATACAAACAGACAGAAAACTACAAAGTTATAGTTAAATACTAACCTAAAATTCTACAAGTGCTAATAAATCAGAGGATAAGTTTAGCAGATAAACAACAGAGGTTTCGTAGTGGAAGATCGTGTATAGATGCAATATTCGTTATAAAGCAAATTACTAAGAAATCACTAGAGTATAATAGACCAGCATTTCTGTGTCTGACTGACCTTAAGAAAGCGTTTGACAAAGTAAGACTTAAAGAGGTAATCCATCTTCTCTATAATATAACAGTTCCCCTAATTATTATATAAACTATCGAAAACATCTACCAAAACAACAAAATGAAAGTCAGAATAGATGGACAACTTAGAACCTATAGAAATAGGCAGCGGAATAAGACAAGGGTATTCTTTGAGCGCCAACTCTTCAATTTGATCATGGATGAAATAATCAAAAGCGTTGACAAAGGAAGTGGATACAGAATGGGGAATAAAAAATAAAAATACTCTGTTATGCGAACGACGCAAAATTGATAGCCGAAGATGAAGATAGTCTGCAAACACCGGTCCACAGATTTAAGATAAGACCAAAAGAATTTAATATGACAATCTCATCTCCGAAAACTAAAACAATAGTAGTCTGCAAAGAACCAACCAGTAAAACAGAAATTGATAGCATTAATAATGAACAAGTAATGGAAATAAAATACCTGGGAATTACACTGTTTAGCAATGGAGACCTGGGCAAAGAAGTGAGAGATCAACTATAAAAAGCAAATAGACTGGCGAGATACCTTAAGAACACTATATGGTGAAACAGACACAAAGCCAGTGTAATGCCAATAATGACATATGCCTCAGAAACAAGACGCGACATAGCAACAACTCAAATACTACTGGAAACGGCAGAGATGGGAGTACTGAGAAGACTTACAAGAAATACGCTGAGAGATCGAAAGAGAAGTGAAGACATTAGAAGAAAATGTAACGTACCGCGTATAAACGAATGAACACAAAATAGAAAAGTCACCAATCAACATAAGAAGTATGGAGATGGAGTGACAACCTTCCATAGAGGCATTTAGTCGCCAATGAACAAGCAAAATTGCTTATAAAGAGGAGGAAGAAGAAGAAGGAGATGATACTGTATATTTGACTAGAAAATTGTTAGAGGAACTAAACCGATGGTAATTATCATCATCATCACGTAGCGCTGCAACCCTGGGTGGGTCTTGACTGAGTGTACAACTTTTTTTCCAATTTGTTTGGTCTTCCATCAACCTAGGGTCAAATGGAATGTTCATTTTCCGGAGATCTGCTTGGATGTTATCTCTCCATCGTATTCTGGATGTCCGAGTGATCTTTTGCCTGTGGGAATCTCCTTCCATACCAGTTTTACAAGTCTCTCGTTATGCAGTCTGTGCATCTGCATGAGTTTCTTTGGTATTGAAAACTGCGCCATGGCATCTTGGCGGAGTTTTCTCTACTTGGCCATCTCTACTTGGCTCCTTTCTACGCTATCATATGTCTGTCGAAAGTATGCTATATATGTCGAAAGAATATGTAACCGATGGTAATGAAAAGTAATAATCAAAAACCAAAAGTATATGGTAGTAAGAATTGTCCAGAAAATGACTTAGATGATCGGATTGTGATCCTCAGTATAAAAGAAAAGTATTGTGGGTTTGATATCGGCAGTTAGTGTTTAATGGCTATTCATACATATGTAAACACAATACAGAATATGCCAGGCTTATTGCTGAGTTGCAACGAGACATCCTCAAGTTGCCCCAAACAGCTTTTGAATAATGAAAATAAAATAGACAGATTGAGGTTTGATTTTGTTACAGCGTACCAACATTCGCTGATATGCATATTTCTTCCTCTTGGCTTCTTTAGAGCAAAATCATGGTAAGCTCTAACTAAATAAAATCTTTTTCATCCACAACAGAAAATATTTAAAAATATGACACCAGAGTGACATCTACCAACGAGCATATAAATCGGAAATCGAATTAATGATTCGGCCTAAATTTGTGGTTTCTAAACGTTGCAAAATAAAACAGACGATGAAAGCACCGAAATGCGCACTCG